AGGAGCGCTAGCTCCAGAGTGAGAGCCCCACATCCTGCAAGGCTCCAGTGCCAGCCAAGCAACAGATGGGGTGAGGACAAAGCCACCTAAAGGTAGGACCAATCTCCTTTGTGTGGCATCCCAAAATTGCTGTGATCGGGGAAACTGTTTCCTTGGGTGGTTTGTGGTGGAGCAGGCCTCGCTGAGCATTTCAGAGCTTCAAACTGCCATGCTTCATGCTCCTGGAGAACCACACAGCTCATGCTGGACTTACCCGCTGGCACCTCCCCGGGAACCAAAACGCCCGCCACGGCCACGGCCTCTGTCGCCCCTGGAGGAAAACAGGGAGGAAAAAGAGTGCGGTTCAGAACAAACTGGAGCCATAATGTACCTTCCAACAATATGCAGCACCCTTTACTCCCTCTCTGGTCCCACAGGAATGCCCTTGACATACATGCTTCACGGTCCCACCTTCTTGCAAGTCTCTATCCTTCAGTGTATTTCCCCCCAGGGGTCCATTTATAGACAGCTCATTCCCCACCCCGTTTACTCCTCCTGCATCATTTGGTGCCTCCTCCCCAGTCCCTGAAGGGCTGCTTGGAACCCACAAGCACGATGGCCACCTTAAGGCACTCTTCTTGGCAAAGGCTACCGTTATGCCAATAAAGGTTATTGGAATTGGAAAAGGCTACCCATTTTTAGTCTCTACACCTCTCTCTATTTTCCCACGGATCCCCCCAGATGCCAGCACTTCAGGGTCCAAAGTTCTGTCATAGTTCCTCACCTACATACCGCCTCCCTCATGTCCCACCCTACCTCCCCCATCTAGGCCCAAATGACTTTTCCCCATACCTTTCAATGCACAGCTTACACTCAACTAAAAAGTGTACACGTACGCTACGGAAACTCCCCCCCCACTCTGGCTGCTTCCAAGTCGCAGTGAATGCACACGCAATCTGTGTATACTTGCCTTTTAATGTGAGTTAAGTCATATTCATGTTATAATCAATGCACATACAGCTGAATGATACAAACCCCACATTTATCTAGGTACTGGTCCCTGGTTTCACTTGCAAAATGAACACATGTTGGCTCTTTCCTTAAACCCCGTTAACAAGTTACTGTGTACACACACATATCTGGTGCACAGACAAGTGTACATCTGCTTGTAAGAAAGAGCCAATGCATGTTTATTTCACAACTGAAATAGCAAAGCAGTGCCTGGATAAATGAGGGATCCATATTATACACTCAGCTCTACACGCATTGAATCTAACACAAGAATTACCTAACGCGTGTATGTAAACAAAAATCACGTGTACCCCATACACAGATCATTGTCCTGTGTGTGTGCTGTAACCTGCAAACATATCAGAAGTGTACAGACAGGATGCACACATGTTCATTAAAGTGTGTGTGAACAGGGCTTCTGAAGAGACACCCTACCTCACCCTTATTATCAAATGCTGAAATCTACTAGCAGAACAATCCTAAACAGAGATATTCCAGTTTAATCAAGAACCAAAAAGGTAAGGGGAAGGTAAGGGGGAAAAACCTGGTGAAAGGCCAACAGTTAAAACCTCATATTAACTTATTATAAGTAAAAATGCATGTATTTATTCTGAGAAAAGTGAAAAAGCATGTAAGGGCCCAATGAAAGCCTCGTTAACAATTACAAATGACAAGGCTTTCACTGGGCTCTTTATGCTTTTTAATTTTTCTCAAAATAAATACACGTGTTTTTATTTATAAAGTCTATATAAGGTTTTAACTACTGGCCCTCCACCAGGGTTCCCCCCCCCCCCCACTTACCTTTTATCGCGTTAAGTTTCTTTTCCCCTCTTTGGTTCTGCCTGACACTCCAGCTTAAGCCTGCTGAAATGAATTCCAGACTAACCCTGCATAGGACTGCACTGCTAGAGCACGCTAGGGTGGCCAGGCAATGCTCCCTCTAAGCTGCGGAGTCTTGTGAGCAAAAATCCTACTTTGTGAGCAATGTTCCCTCTAAGCTGTGGAGTGTTGTGAGCAAAAATTCTACTTTGTGAGCCACTGACATAAAAGTTGTGAGCGAGCGATTCGGCTGCTGCATAAATTAGTTTGCTCTGGTGCCCTCCTTCCTGAGCTAAGGCGAAAATGTGTGAGCTGGAGGCTAAAAAACTGTGAGCTAGCCCACACTAACTCAGCTTAGAGGGAACACAGTTTGTGAGCTACTGGGCATTAAAGTTAATTTGGCTGCTGCGTAGATTAGTTCGCTCTCGAGCCCTCCTTCCCGAGCTGAGACAAAAAATGCGTGAGCCGGAGGCTAAAGAACCGTGAGCCGGCTCACATTTAGCCCAGCTTAGAGGGAACGCTGGTTGCCAGCTTCCAGGGGAGGCCTGGAGATCTCCCAGCATCACCACCGATCTCCAGACGGCAGAGACCAAGTCCCCCTGGAGAAAGTGGCTGCTCTGGGAGGCGCTCTACGGCATTCTACCCTGCGGAGGTCTCTCCCATCCCAGACCCCGCCCCTCCCAGTCTCCAGGAATCTCCCGCCCCGTAGATGGCACCCACGCCATCTTGGAACCTTATAGGCCGCCCTCCCACTGTGAAAGGGACTCAAAACGGGTCTGCCCAAGCCGGGGACTACTACGTAGCCTGTCCCCAGCACCGATGATAGACTGCCTCGGCACATGGAGGGACTCGCCCCCACGGGGACTTCAGCCACCGCCTTCCTACCGGCCGGCGGCCTCTTTTCCCCCACCGTCAGAGCCCCCTTTCCGTCCCTCCCTTCCCGCCCAGGCCCGCCATTTCCCTCTCCTCACCTCATGGTTCCGCCGAAACAATAACCGACGCTGCTCCCGCTGAAGGGAAAAAAAATGAAAGGCAAACCACCCGGCCTACTTCGGCGCCCAGCCTGCTACAAGCGTCGCCGTGATTGGCTACCGCCGACAACAAGCGTCGCCGTGATTGGCCAACGGCTCGCCTTCCCCGTTTCGGCCAGTCGCGTGCGAACAGCCCGCCTTTCCCTGTGAGGTTCTTTTGTCCCATTGGCCTTGTTGACCCATCAATCATTCAAACCGCGCTCCCTGCGGGCACTCTCTCGCCTCCCACTGAAGCAGGTAATGAGCGCCGGTCAACCAATTGCAAAGTCGGAAGCGGGAACTCTAACCAATGAGGTGCTGAGGAGAAGGGACGGGGTGGAGCAACCCACCACAAGGGCGATTTAGTGCGCACGCGTGTTCCCTGAAGCGCTGTTGCTTGGAGGCCGGTAGGGGGAGAAAAGGACGTGGAACGGAGAGAAGAAAGGCAGAAGGTACAGTTTAGTACGCATGCGTGTATCCGTTTGGAACCTTCATAGAGCTTAATGGAAACTTAGAACGCAAGTAGCAGAGTGGCGCAGCGGAAGCGTGCTGGGCCCATAACCCAGAGGTCGATGGATCGAAACCATCCTCTGCTAGCTGGTATAGCTTTTTGAAAAATCTTGTCCTTAAAAAAAGTATTTTGTTGCACTTTTAAAATTCGCAACCAGAACACCGAAATTGACTACGAATAATAAGATTAAATGAGCAAACGATCTATATATATATATATATATATAGATTGTATATAGGCTCTTTTTGTTGTTGCACTGAGGGATTTTTATTTAAGAGAGAAATACTATTCTAATTATAAAAAAACACTATGCAAACTCATATTCAGTTTGCATCCTGCCAGCACACAGGATGGCTCCTTGCAAATACCAGAAGCCCAACTCTGCCCCACTTGAGGTGGTGGGGCAGGGCTCGGTGCCCCATGCTCTCTCCTCTGTGGGGTGATTTGCCTTGCTTCAGGACTGGGGCCAGGCCCTCTATCCCAAAGACAAGACTTTACCCCCTGCACCTTGTGCACCAACTTTCTGTGTGCACAGCTCTCTCATTCTCAGAGTAGTGAGGCTTACATCAGTGTAGCAACAGCAAGATCGCCACAAAGGGTTCACAACTCTGCCTTGGGAAGTTCCCAGGAGATTTGGGGAGAGGAGTTTAGGGAGGGCAAGGAACTCAGCAAGGTATAATGCAAGAGAATAAACCAGGGGAGGACAAACTTGCTTAACGTAAGAGCCACATAGAATAAACATCAGATGTTTGAGAGCCACAAGACAAGAACAAATATTACATGTTTTTATTGGAAAATATGCAGATTTGCTTTTTATTAAGAAGAAGAAGAGATTGGATTTATACCACACCCTTCACTACCCAAAGGTGTCTCAGAGCGGCTTACAAACTCCTTTCCCTTCCCCTCCCCACAACAGACACCGGTGAGGTAGGTGGGGCTGAGAGACAGAAACGGCTCTTTTCCAAGGACTGCTCTTATCAGAACTGCAGTTTGCCCAAGGTCATCCAGCAGGTGCAAGTGGAGGAGTGGGGGAATCAAACCCAGTTCTCCCAGATTAGAGTCCCCGCACTTAACCACTACACCAAACTGGCAAAATAATAACAAAAGGGGTAAAAGCAGATATTGATAATGATGTTTATTTGTTCAATGATATTTGTTTGCTAATGATATTTTGCTTCCCCAGCCGCCCTGCCGGGAGCCGCACACCATATGTGTGAAAGAGCCGCATGCGGCTCCTGATCCACAGTTTGATCACCCCTGGAATACACCCTCCAAAGTAACCATTTTCTCCAGGGGAACCAACTCTCTACAGTCCTGTTTATCGGACCGGCGGAACAGTAATCTGGGGGAGAATTTCCACCTCCCGGGATATTCTCTGGACCCCACCTGGAGTTCTCCAGTAACAAGAGGTAACCAAAGGGTGAACAGGATTAGAAGTGAATCCCAGGATCAACTCTTTTGCCATTGTGGTTGCCAGCCTCCAGGTGAGGCCTGGAGATATCTTGGAATGACTAATGATCTCCGGAGTACAGAGATCAGCCCCCCTGGAGAAAATGGCAGCTTTGGAGGGTGGGCTCTAGAAGAAGAGGAGGATCGTCGCCAATTGTTAAGTCCGTGCTTAACAAAATAGTCAGAGAGTGATTTCAGAAAACTCAGGTTTATTCAGCTCTTCAATCGACTTCTTCTGACACGGTACAACTCTTGATAGCCCGAACTCTGAACTTCGATTCCATTGCAGCTGGTTCGGTATTTATACATTCCGGGCTAATGTAGCCACACCTACTGTACATTAAACCAACCTATCAGGTTGTGTGCATGAACGACCAATCATAAGCGGTCCCGCTTACATACATTCAAATCTGATTGGCCACAATACTTTTCGGCGCGAATCCCTGCCGAAGCTTGAAGCTTTGCATGGCTTCTCTATGGGAGGATTCACATACCTCCTAATGCATTCAGGGCAGCATCTGAATACATTACAAATCCCTCCCCCCTAAGCAAAAACAACTACGAACAATCATAATCACTTAGGTAGGAAGGTGCTCTTCTTGTTCTCTGAGACCTCCTAGGTGTACTAGGCTCAGGGCACATCTCCGTCAGTGGCACTTCGTTCGACTCTGGGACCGCAGAGTCAGGAACACTTCCATCCGTTACGTTCGGTTCGAGAGTAGGGGTCTGCCCTGCCTCTGGAACAGTGCTGATGCCCTCAGGCCCGTCAGCACTCGCCTCCAGGGGAGGTCTCGGAAGGTCCTCGGGGTCTATTGACTCAGTTGGCAACGCGTTGGGTCGGTCAGTCGCCCACCGTTGCCTCAACTGGTCTACGTGCCTACGCCACTTGCGACCATCAGCAAGTCGTACCACATACATTCTGGACCCAACAGTTTCAACAATAGTGGCTGGGAGCCACAAGTGACCACTGGCATAATTTCTCGCATACACCTTGTCATCCTTCTCATATATGCGTACCTTCGTTTGTTCACTCTGCTGTGGTGGTTTAAGGTCATTCAGGTCCGGGTGCAACCTATCTAATAGGGTTGCCAGCCTCCGGCCCATCAGCATTTCGGCCGGACTGCGGCCAGTTGCTGAACAAGGGGTAACATGCTGTCTGAGCAAGAACGAAGCTAGCTTTACCCCCCAGTCACCATAAACCAATTTACTCAGTGCTTCTTTGGTGGTTCTTACCATTCTTTCCGCCTGGCCATTCGAAGCCGGGTGGAATGGGGCCGATGTAATCTGCCTGATTCCGTTATCAGCCAGAAATTTTTCAAACTCCATAGATGTAAATTGCGTCCCGTTATCACTGACCAATACATCGGGTATACCATGGGTCGCAAACAGGCGCCGCAGCACATTGATGACAGACCCGGAAGTGGTGGAATGCATGTGCGCAACCTCCAACCATTTCGTATACGCATCAACAATAATAAGGAACATTTGTCCCTGAACTGGCCCCGCAAAATCTAGGTGGAGCCTCGACCAAGGTTTTCCCGCCGACTCCCAACGCTGCGGAGTGGCGGTTGACGGCTCAGGCCTAGCCTGCTGACAGGGCTCACACACTCTGACCCAATCCTCGATTTCCGCATCAAGCCCGGGCCACCACACATAACCACGGGCCAGTGCCTTCATGTGGACCATGCCTGGATGGCCCTCATGGAGTGATTTCAGCACTTTTTGTCTGAGGCAGTGAGGCACCACCACCCGGTTTCCCCACAGTAAACAGCCCTTAGACACAGACAGCTCGTTTTGGCGCGCTTTGTACATGCGAAATTCCGGCTCCATAGCACCCATCGGCCACCCCCTCCAAACCCAGTTAAGAACTCTCGCAATTACACTGTCCTTAGCCGACGCAGCGGCAATGTCCTTGGAGGTGATGGGTGCTTGCGGCAGTTCTTCGATGGCCAACACAGAGGCCGTTGGTGCAGGGTCCAAATCTCGGCCGGGCAGCGGGCAACGACTTAATGCGTCCGCATGTCCGATGGCCTTGCCCGGCCGGTGCTCCAGGTCATAGTCATAGGCCGACAAAAACAAGGCCCAACGGAGCATTCTGGCAGACATGATGTTCGGGAGTTGCCGGTCCGGGGCAAAAATCCCAAGCAGGGGCTTGTGGTCTGTCACAAGCAGAAAATGTCTGCCATACAAGAAATCGTGAAATTTTTTAACTGCTGATACCAGCGCCAGTCCCTCTTTGTCTATTTGAGCATAGTTCTTCTCAGCTTCAGATAGCGACCTTGAGTAAAACGCGACGGGGGCCTCCCGTCCGTCTTCCAGTACATGACTCAATACCGCCCCCACCCCATAAGGAGAGGCATCTGCGGCCAAGACCAACAATTTCTGGTCATCGTAATGGGTCAACACTGCATTTGATGACAACAATGATTTCACCCCTTCAAACGCCTTTTTTTGTTCAGCACCCCACCGCCATTTTGCGTCCTTGTGAAGGAGCGCATGTAAAGGTGCCGCCACGGACGCCTTGTGGGGGAGAAGTGCATAAGTTCCTCATCGGATCTTCCAGCAATGAGAACGTCATCAAAATAAGGGACCGTTCCTGGTACCCCCCTCAACAGCCCTTCCATGAGACTCTGAAAAATCCCTGGGGCCACATTCACACCAAATTGGAGCCTGTTTACTTTGAACGCCCCCCTGTGTGTCACAATGGTCTGTGCTTCAGCAGCTTCCTTGGTCACGGGAAGCTGCTGGTCAGCCTGGGCCAAGTCGAACTTCGCAAAGACTTTTCCCCCCCCCAACGATGCCCAGACATGGCTAATTACCGGTACTGGGTACGAGTGCTGTTGCAATGCCCGCTTTATGGTGCATTTGTAGTCAGCACAGATGCGTACTGACCCGTCCGGCTTAACAGGGGTTACAATGGGGGTCTCCCACCGACTGAAGGGAACTGGCTCTAACACGCCCTGCTCGATGAGCTTGTCCAGCTCTGCTTCGATTCTGGGCTTAAGAGGAATAGGAACCTTCCTATACTTGAGGCGAACCGGCCTCACGGCAGGATCAAGTTCAAACGCTACTGGGGGT